ATATAACTTGCTGTCGAAATAAATTCATAAAGTCCATAGAATACTCGAGCTCATCAGAATAATTACCATGGAAGTTTCTAAAGTTAAAAGTTGCATAGAGTTAATTAGATAAATATATAAATAGATGTTTTTATAAATTAGATACACACATGCAATACTTAAATAACTATTTATATATATATATATATTATATATATATATATATATATATAATATATATATATATTAATAAATAATGTCTTTTAACTTGTCAATGAAAACATCCTGTTTTGTTTTTAACACACACATAACAATATATATATGTTTTAAAAGGATGTTTGTATTGAGACATAAGAAATTGAATAAAACTGAAAAAGCCTTTTCTAATTATTTACAACTGGATCATTTCATATTCACGGACAAGGAAGAGTCAAAATTACGGTGTTGATACATATTATTTTATTCAATGAAATATATCTCGACGACAAATCCAGAATGGAAAATTACGATCAGAGCAAACATTACTGAAATATTATGCGTGGAACCCCACGAAATAATATGCGCAAGTGAAATATTTGCGTAGTCGTTTATAACGATTTTTACGAACACGTCAATAACGGCAAACGCATTCTGTCGAAAAACTTTCATTTACACTTAACATTATATGCAATATGAACAATCGTTTTATTTATTTCATTAAGAAAATACAAATAGGAACGATCAATTTTTTTTTTTTTTTTATCCCTTTTTGGTGGCAAACGATGCTGGTGGAACCTCAAAGGTTTAATCCCATGATAAATCACCGAAACCGTGAGATCAAAACCTTCAGTCGGCGGCTTATGAAGAATTAGGGTATCGCACTTTAACACACGTTGTATATATAATATACATATATATAGAATAACGAGAACCACGTATACTTTCTTAATATGTATATATAGAAAAAGTTGCAAATTAAAAAATAATAATGTTCTTTAATGAAAGTATTTATTTATTTGTATATTTATATCTGAAGAAGGAAATTACTGGAAAGTATTTTCATATCATTATATCTGATATTATTACAGTTAGATTTACGTTAGAAATATTCGTTCCATATCAGATGACGTCCGCATCTCGCGACGGACGCTACTTGTAAACAAATAGTTATTTCTGAAGAAAGATTGAGGCCAATCTGAAATATCAAATAAATATACAAATAAATAAATATTTTCATAAAAGAACATTATTATTTTTTTGGTTTGCAACTTTTTTATATATATATATATATATATATATATATATATATATATATATAATAAAAGGAAATTTTGATTTCAATTATGAATATACTATTTTACGTAAATTTCAGAAATAAGTTATTCCAAAAAAATTTTGATTGAAGATGGAACAGAGCTTACTTTAACTCAATTTAATTCAAATAATTATATTGAAGTTTTCATTTTGTTTTGAAACATGAGAACTCTTATGTCGCGAGTTGGAATCATATTTTTAAATAAATAATTATATTTATGCTCTATTTTTGTATCGAGCACTATTTTTTTTAAAAATAATAACTAAAATACTAAGGAAATTTAGATTATTTACCTAACCAGTTCTTTCCTATTTTCTACATATTTTCACACACACATAGAAATGAAGATAACTATTGACATTGCTTTAAAATTTTTTCAAGATCAAAATTGACAGGGAAGCAAGAAGCCGGGAAAAAAAATTCACAAGCGGAAAATGCGATAAGAAGAATCTGTCAGCGTAGAACTTACGGTTACATCAATCCAATTCACTTTTAAATTAATGCTTCTTTTTTTTCTCAAATCAAATACTTCGCATTAATTCATAACCTTTAGGAACCATAGCGAAATGTTCATCTAAATAATTGCGATGGCAGTATTTATAGAAAAAATCACAGGGAATTAACTTTACGAGAGTGGGGAGAATTACTTCTCGCTGTCATGGAAACCATGGGCTGCTTTTTCTTTCCTTTTTTGCACGGAGGCCTAACAATTAAATCTAAAAATAAAACACAGCAAAAAAGAAACTTATTTTTAGCGTTTGCTATTTTTAAAATAAAATCCAGTCGGACATAATAACTAAAGTGCAGCTGTTATTTCGAGATGCAAAACCTATTCATCGTCGAGAATGATCGATAGAACTTGTAAGCTTCTCTGCATTCAGCCTATTTCTCCAGGCTAACGGCCGCATCACGTTGAAACATCGGTTCCCGTACGATCATCGAAGTTAAGCAACGTTGAGCCTGGTCAGTACCTAGATGGATGCTACTTGGGAATATAATTTGCTGTAAACGTGTGGTGTTTGTTATATTCACTTACGCGATAATACCCTTGGAAAATATGTGCATCCACCTCTTTTCCCCTAGCTATGGGTTAATTAGTAAGACTTGTATCGCTATAAAACAGTATTACAAAAATTACGTACAAAATATTTAGTTTTTCGACATTAAATAACCCATACAGGTTGATATCCTGCTAAACAAAAACAACAACCCAACCTATTTCTCGGATTAGTTTCGTCTTCTTTTATATGACGTGCCCCTTCAGGAAGTAGGTGATCATGGCTCTCCACTTTCTCCTATCCTTTGTATTTTTCAATATGCTTTGTTCTTTTGCTACTTCTCCCAAACCCTGTTTTGTCAGCCATTTGTTTAAGCCTGGTATGTCACGCGTTGCTTTTCCTTATCGCTCTTTCCCTCTAACCGCCCTGTGTGTTTTAGATTCTCCAAGCCCTCCTTTCTCATTACGTGTCCCAGAAAGTTCAGCTGCCTCTTCCTGATGTTAAGTATTAACTTCCCCTTTCCAAAATCTCATTGTTGCTCAACTGTTAGGTCCATGGTATCCTTAGCATTCTTCTATAGAACCATTGCTTCGTAGCCTCGAGTCTCTTCTTCATCTTTGAGGAGACCGTCCAACATTCGATGCCGTAAATGAGGACAGATATCACGTAGCAGTTCAGTAGTCTTTTCTTTGTGACCAACGAATTCCTCCTGTCTCGTAATACTCTGCCTAACTTTTGAAATACGTCTTTGGCCATCCCAGTACGTCTTCGGATCTCAGCGTCGAACTTACCGTCCTCGTGGTTGTATTTAATGTAAATGCCTTTTCGTAACAATATCCCAACAGAAATTTTATATAAAAAAAACGAAACAAATCAGAGATTGAGCAGGTATTCTTTGTGTAGGTTAATCCAAAGCTTTGATAGAAAATAATGTCGTTCATCTGGAGCTTCTTTACAATGCCTCATAAATATAGACAGATACTAAAGTGACTGAAAACGAGATGCCAGGTCAGAATCAATTACATTGCAGATCCTTCTTTGGATTTTGTCATCAATCTCAAAATGTGCAGCAGGATCACAATACCAGGTTTGGCAACAGTATTTGCTCACAACGTTTCGATTCTCTAGCAGTCTTAATGTTTCTGTATTCCCACTTGGTACTCTTTTTGCGAATTCGAACATTAACCTTAATTCAGAGGCTAGATATTTCTAATTCCCCTTTCCATGTTACGTGAACATTTCATAATCTCTATCTATAAAAGGCAGGATGTGTGTGTGTGTGTGTGTGTGTGTGTGTGTGTGTGTGTGTGTGTGTGTGTGTGTTTGTGTAACGAATGCACGGACGCAATTTTCGACGGATTTGCACCAAAATTTACATGCACATGCTCCAAGTTAGTGGTAAGTCCAAGACTGACTTTGCATTTCCTGTAGTTTGCGGCCATTTTGTACTGGCCAGAGTGAGAGCCAATAGCTGGCTGCCACGAATAGGCAGGAAGATTCTATTGGCCAGCGTCACAAGTGGGGAAAAATTTAAATCTGCATGGCACTTTAATCCAATTGGCTCATTCGCTTGCTTAAACTCAACGTTGATTCTGATTCTGCAGAACTGAGTTGGATGTGAAAGAGTATTTGTTGTTAACATTCTTTTTTCATTCGGTTTTTCCAGTTACGAGTCCTTTTTCAGTAGAGGGCTGCAATAATATGGTAGAGTCGATACGTTCTCTGCACCCAGTTTACTTAAAGAAGCTAGCCCGTATGAGGTACAATTCTAAGCTAACAAGCGAGAATGCATATATGTGAAAGTCTTCCCTGTGCTACTCACTCAGAATCAATACTAACATCGATGCTAACATGTGTGTCCCTCCTTTGCACTAAAACGAATAAGAAAAACTGTAAGCTAGCTTCTGTGCAGGGTTCTTGAGAGGGCCTTCGGCTTTTTTTCAGGAGGTTCAGAGTCCCTAAATCTTTGCATATTCTCAGCACTGAAGCTCTCATGGCTGCTGTTTGATCTGGGTTTTCATTTGTACGGAACTTTTTTTCCTCGTTGCAGCTTTGGCTCCTTTGAGTGTAATTTGGTCCTCTGCTGGCGGAGTTTTTTGTTTTTGCGAGGCATACTGCTGCCGTATGCGTTAGGCAACACTAAACTACAGAAGAACTCTAAATTGATTGTTGCATTTAAGTATTGCATTAATATCTAAGCTTACCTTTTAAAAGTTCAACGATATTTCTTCTGCCTCCACTTAATTTAAAGACAATTTCATGTATGTAGGTTTCGTTGATACAGTTTATGAAGTTGCGTTTGGGGTCTGAACATCTGAAGCTTGTTCAGAGCTCACACATTGGGCTTCTCTTTTAAAGGTAACCATGAGTAGGGTTTTCTCATGGTTAATAGTCCTTTCTTCTTGCTTTTCATTACTATATTGTCTTCCCGATTTGTTTTCTTTCGCAGTCTACTATAAACACAGTATCATTCGCCTATCTTATATCAAGACTATATCAACCGACAACCAAACATTCAATGATTTCCAGTTTTCTTTGGATTATCTTATTGTATAGATTAAGCTAACACTAGTAATCATTCATTTTGGAGGCCTACTAGAAAACGGTGTGTCTGTGTGTGTGTGTGTGTGAGGGAGAGAGGGGGTGAGAGTGAAAGAGAGAGAGTTCATGCTGAACGACAATGTCACCAATAAGATCCTTCAGACTAATGTCACCGTCTACCAGGCAGTATGTCTTTCAACCCTTCTTACATGGCAGCGAATCCCGAGTCCCATACCGTGGCCATTTGCCTTGAACGCCTCCTAAGTACAAAGAACCGTCACATCGATGGGGTAAGGTACCGTAATTAAGAAGAGTTTACTGCCGAAGATCATCGAAGGCCTTTTTGTCGATTGGAAGATACACCCACCATGCAAACCTCTAGTGGTCTCTTGGCGGGTCGCCGATGTCAACACTATCGGTCCTCTGGTGGTATCCACCGGTAGGCCACTGGCGGTTCGGAAGCGTAACATTGCCAAGACGAACACGCTGGTAGTCCGATAGCGAGCCACCAGCGGATAAACGTTAGTTTTGGATTGTTTTACGGCATATAAACTTCAATGGATTATTTAATGCCGACAAAATTTTTATTGCTGGTAATATGTTTTTCTTCAAAAATCAATTTCTGGGAATATTTTCCTTGGAGAAATCTATAGCTGGTCATATTTTTTTTCAAAGAATGTATAACTGTTTGTATTGCTGGTATTTTTTTAAAAATTATTGCTGGTAATAATTTTCTTATTACAAAGTATTTCTGGTATTAAAATCTATTTATACACAAGTTTGCGTGTTAACTATTTGCCCATAGCTGGGACCCGAACACCAGCAATTAAGAGGTGGTTCCACGTTTCTCAAAACCTCCTAATGAGAGGCCTTGCTGATAGACGTAGTTTATCGTCTTACCCAGGACGAGGTAAACGTTAGTGGGATGCCACTCAGTGGCTTGAGTGTAGGATAAAGGATTGTCCGCGTCATTCACATGCCTATGAAATGACTCTCCTGTACTTCGTGCCAGATGAATATTGCTGGTCAATACAGTCATTTACCGGGATCATATCAAAGCTATCTTGAGGACGATGTGTCTCTATGGACGCTGTTCAAACTACGGATGGAAAATTGGTTTAACAGGAAACGGAAAGCAGTCAAAGACATTTCACATAGGACCCTTCCTCTGTCATCATATTAGTATTTTTTTCGGATACACTACACGTGAAAAGTGTACAATTCCCGTGTTGGTCTGATCAGCCAAACGCCAACTTCACCACAAAGACTTCATCTGAAAAGAAAGCGTACAAGAAAATGATTACAGGTTATTTTCTCATGTCAATGATACTGAATTCAATGTGCCTGGGGTGACATGTTATCAATAAAGAGCAACCCAACATTAGTAAAAATCTACATCTTGGGTCTGCCAGGGAAGCATAGCTTAGCGTGTTAATCTTGCAGACCATTGCTAGTGCGTTGGATTAATCCTGAATTACACATTATTTGTGGTTTTACAAGACGAAGCTTTTTAGAGCGCAGTATTTTTTTTTTTATGTCGGGTTATATTTGCAGTGCATGAAGAGAATTGCAAAAATGCTCTTCTGTTGATGGATTTTGTTATCGGCTTCGCCAAATTTCGCATTGACAACTAAGAGTGGCTTAGGGGTATTTTGATTTGAATAATCGGATAACTGCTACAATGTTTCACTTTAGAGGCCATTATTTCTCTCTTGTTTTTTTGTTTTCATTTTCTACCTTTCTTTCTTTTTCATTTCATATTAATAACGATTTGCTTTCTTTCCTTTTCACTTTATCATTTTTCTTATTTTAATAAATTCAATATATATATATATATATATATATATATATATATATATAAAATATAATCCCTCGATTTTCATTCTTGTGTCTGTTTTAGTCTATCTTTTGTTGCGTTGCAGCTCTGACTAGACATCAGGTTCGTTAAAATGGTGCACTTTCTTCCTGTCAAACGCTTGTGGCTTAAAAATTACCCTTCGATCAGATCGTTACCCACGAGTGAAGAACAAAATAATTTCTAGCAGGTTTTATTCTGAGGTTGTAACTCTCCCTTATCTCTCATAATCTTTCTCTCTTTATAGAGAGTACTTTAGGTTTCATTTTTATTTCTCTCTCTATTTTACAACACCAACTCTCCTTATCTTTCTTTATATATGTTCATTTCTTTGTGTTTCTCTCCTTATATGTTACTAGCAGGATGGCCCAGCGTTGCCCATGCTTGATTCAAAAATCGTACGACTCATACAGCAATCGCTATCAATTGACTTAAAATATTTTTGCCCTTCCTTTCCTTTAAAGGAGTGCCCTTTGCCGTAATGATGTTGCTACATGCCTTACTTCTTGCCTATCTCACACTGCGATTTTTTTCTAAGCTCTATACTAAACATTAAATCTGTTACGAAAAAAGAATTAAACAAAATGAACACAAAACGATCAGCTTTAAAAAAGGACTCTGGAAACTGGAAAAACCGAATGAAAAAAGAATGTTAACAACAAATACTTTTTCACGCCCAACTCAGTTCTGCGGAATCAACGTTGAGTTTAAGCAAACGAATGAGCCAATTGGAGTAAAGTGCCATGCAGATTTAAATTTTTCCCACTTGTGACGAATGCAGCTATCGATTTTTTTTTTTGCATGCTAGCATACTAGGTAACATTCGTGTCAGTAAGCTATTGGCTCACACGCTGGCCAATAGAATGTTCCTGCCTATTCGTGGCAGCCAGCTATTGGCTCTCACTCTGGCCAGTACAAAATGGCCGCAAACTACAGGAAATGCAAAGTCAGTCTTGGACTTCCAACTAACTTGGAGCATGTGCATGTAAATTTTGGTGCAAATCCGTCCTGCTAATTGCGTCCGTGCATTCGTTACACACACACACACACACACACACACACACACACACACACACACACACACACACACACATCTGTCTTTTATAAATAGAGATTATGAAATGTCCACGTAACATGGAAAGGGGAATTATAAATATCTAGCCTCTGAATAAAGGTTAATGTTCGAATTCGCAAAAAGAGTACCAAGTGGGAATACAGAAACATTAAGACTGCTAGAGAATCGAAACGTTGTGAGCAAATACTGTTGCCAAACCTGGTATTGTGATCCTGCTGCACATTTTGAGATTGATGACAAAATCCAAAGAAGGATTTGCAATGTAATTTATTCTGACCTGGCATCTCGTTTTCAGTCACTTTAGTATCTGTCTATATTTATGAGGCATTGTAAAGAAGCTCCAGATGAACGACATTATTTTCTATCAAAGCTTTGGATTAACCTACACAAAGAATACCTGCTCAATCTTTGATTTGTTTCGTTTTTTTATATCAAATTTCTGTTGGGATATTGTTACGAAAAGGCCTTTACATTAAATACAACCACTAGGACGGTAAGTGCGACGCTGAGATCCGAAGACGTACTGGGATGGCCAAAGACGTATTTCAAAAGTTAGGCAGAGTATTACGTGACAGGAGGAATTCGTTGGTCACAAAGAAAAGACTACTGAACTGCTACGTGATATCAGTCCTCATTTACGGCATCGAATCAGCTTTAAAAAAGGATTCGTAACTGGAAAAACAGAATGAAAAAAAGAATGTTAACAACAAATACTTTTTCAGACCCAACTCAGTTCTGCGGAATTAGAATCAACGTTGAGTTTAAGCAAGCGAATGGGCCAATTGGAGTAAAGTGCCATGCAGATTTAAATTTTCTCCACTTGTGACGAATGCAACTATCGATTTTTTTTTTTTGCATGCTATTTAACATTCGTGTCAGTCAGCTCTTGGTTCTCACGCTGGCCAATAGAATCTTCCTGCCTATTCGTGGCAGCCAGCTATTGGCTCTCACTCTGGCCAGTACAAAATGGTCGCAAACTACATGAAAACTGCCGTAGAAGCATGACAAAAACGTTTATTTCCACTATCAATGGGAGTTGGGAAATGCAAAGTCGGTCTTGGCCTTCCCGCTAACTTGGAGCATGTGCATGTAAATTTTGGTGCAAACCCGTCGAAAATTGCGGCCGTGCATTCGTCACACACACACACACACACACACACACACACACACACACACACACACACACACACACTGCCTTTTATAGATAGAGATTTTCTCCGTTACTACTTTTCTTTCTATCTTTTTACATTCTTTCTATTTTCTTTTTCTATCTTCTTTCTTTCCTTCTTTTTCTGCCTGTTTTTTTTTTCTTCTTTCTTTCCTTCTTTTTCTGCCTGTTTTTTTTTCTTCTTTCTTTCCTTCTTTTTCTGCCTGTTTTTTTTTCAAACTTTCCTTCTTTTTTTAGCCTGTTTTTTTTTTTCTTTCTTTCCTTCTTTTTCTGCCTGTTTTTTTTTCTTCTTTCTTACTTTCTTTTTGTCTATCTCTCTTCCCTACCACTTCACGCTAAGATCATCAATCATTTGCAAATGTTACTTTACAGTTCAGACCAAACACCAGACTCGTTGACAGGGTGCAGTTTGTTACAGTTAAACGGTTGTGGCCCAATAATTACCCTTCGGAAAGATCTTTACCCACGAGTGAAAACCAAAACAAATTCTAGCAGTAAACCAGATTTTATTCTACAAGCGAGCGAAGATGCGTAGGTGAGTGGGGAGTTTCACAGTTCAGCGACTGTCTTCGCTGTTCCGGTTCGTTCCTTTTGCTTGCTTTTTCGCGAGATGGTCAGTTTTATTGATAATTAATTTCTTTGTCGTATCATCTTTGTCTAAAAAAGTAATTTATCTCCCTTCAGTAACTTTCTCTCAGTCTGAGCCTCTTGCGCTGTATTTTGAAGCTGTCTCCACTTACTGATAAACATCGGTCGAATGTAAATGTTTCGTATCCAGTGTTGCGATAGGTCCCACTGTTTTCAATTTAACAATACCTCACCTGACTCATATTGCTAAACTTTCTTTCATTCCTTCTTTTTATTTTATAATTTCACCTCTTTCCCGATCTAACCACCATTCGATTTAAATCGTTATCTGAAATACAGAGCAATTTTTTCAAACATTTTCTACGATTTATTTTTTTTGGGGGGGGATGAGTAAATTAAATATGTCGTCATAAAGCAATGGAATAGTGAAAATTTAATAGCATACATGTTTCGAAATATTTTCTCCAGGGTTACATTTTATTAGAGTAATAAAAAAAATAAAATATTAAATGCATTTTAATGCATTTGATAAAATAACGGAAATTAAGAAGACAAGGTAATGATTGACATATCACTTAAATTTTTGAAGATCATATATACCGTACCTATGAACACTAATGGGTATGTCCCAATCCTCATAAATACGTAAGGGGGGTAATATGCTGTCTAAGTAGTGCACCACTAGCAGTGGTTTACCTACTTCATGCCGCTGGCGAGTATTGTATTTTGTTGATGTTATAAAGATTACCATTTCATTTCCAACCTCCGTTTTGGTTATTCCTCATTCAGTAACCATTTCTAGGTTACACCACTAGCCATGTTTAATCCTTATCTATCTATCTATCTATCTATGATTTGTCCTTATCTATCTATCTATCTATCTATCTATCTATCTATCTATGATTTGTCCTTATCTATCTATCTATCTATCTATCTATCTATCTGTCCATACCTATCAAAATTTGTCAATATCTATCTATCTATCTATCTATTATATACCGTACCTATTAGCTCTGATGGGTATGTCCCAATCCTCATAAATACGTTGGACACTATTGTAAGTGGGGGTAATATGCTTTCTATGTCCATCACTAGCAGTGGTTTACCTACTTCACGACGCTGGCGAGTATTGTATTTTGTTGATGTTATAAAGATTACCATTTCATTTCCAACCTCCGTTTTGCTTATTACTCATTCAGTTACTTTTTCTAGGTTACAACACTAGCTATGGTTAATCCTTATCTATCTATCTTTCTATCTATCTATGATTTGTCCTTATCTATCTATCTATCTATCTATCTATCTCAATCTGTCCATACCTATCACAATTTCTCAATAACTATCTATAAAAATCATTTCATATCTATCAATCTATCTATGAATACTAATGGGTATGTCCCACTCCTCATAAATACGTTGAACACTATTGTAAGTGGAGTAATATGCTGTCTATGTAGTCCAACCACTAGCTGTGGTTTACCTATTTCACGCTGCAGGCGAGTATTGTATTTTGTTGATGTTATAAAGATTACCATTTCATTTCCAACACCGTTTTCCTTATTCCTCATTCAGTAACCCTCTCTAGATTACAACAAATCTTTATAGAAAAGGCACAGGGAAGTTATATTATGGCTGTTGAAAATTGATTGAACCCGATATGCCAGGTCATGAACAATAATATTGCAGATTATTCTATATTTTATCAAGAATTTCTAAATACATATTAGAAGCACTAGACAAAATGTGACAGCAATATTCAATGCATGGACGAAGAGTAGTCTTATTCATGTTTAAGATAGATTCTGGCGGGAAATATTGTAAAGCAGGTAAACAGGTTTGAAAACAATAATTAATCTTCTTCTGTAATGTGTCATGTACTTTCAGAACATGGGCGACTATGACTCTCCACTAGTTCCTTTAATTTATAGCTCTAAACATTATTTCAACCTTTAATATAACGCCCAGTTCTGCCATCCATTTAAACGAGTCCGTTAAGTTATTCTTGCCTGTCTTATTTTTAATATGTACTGTGAGTGCCAACTTCTGGGAGTCTTCTCCCGTCATTATGATTCCCAGAAAATTTAAACTGTTCCTTGTTTTTGTAATTGTGAGTGACCTTTTTGTTTCCATTTTCTTTAAAACTTCCTTTGCGCTCACATGCTCCGTCTATGGCATTCTCATCATCCTACTGTAGGACCACATCTCTGTGCATCAAAGCTTCTCTTCATCTGACATTTGTAACGGATTTTTATTTTAAAATTTATACAGGACTTTACGGTAGACAATTAATGGATTAAATGCCCTAACGGCATCTCTCAGGGAAATGAAAATCCCTTGGCAGTATCCATCTCCTCTCTAAATGACACGGGACAAGTTGTACTAGGTTACTATGAGTTACTACGGTTACCATCGGACCATCAAGAAAGGGCAATACTTCACCTGGTGTATTAAAATAGGAAATGTATAGAAATTCATTCCCGTTAGGAAAGCCCTTTATCAGACTTTCTACATTGACGTTATATAATCAGAAAGTGCTTTCACATAACACGGCATGAAAAAATAAAACGGTTAACACGTGTAATAAAAGGAGAAAATAATTATAAAACGAAGATGATATTGTTGCGGACTCCGAGATGAAATCCGGTCTCCAATGAATGACAAACACAGGAATGAAATATAACAATTAAATGTATTGACACAATAATACAATGAGTAATACGGTTAGTTATTAGCAATTATATATATATATATATATATATATATATATATATATATATTAAGTAATGGACAAAGTCCGACAATTTATTTATTAAAGACATTTTTATGTTTAACGTTCTTTTTTATAGATACAAGTATTTAAGTAAATGCTCTGTTTATAATAAACAGTATTAAATAACATTTACCGGCCTGAATGTCCGAGAAATTTTCATAGAAAATATTCGTCCTTTGATTCGAACCTGCATCGTATACGGAACCGTCATTTACGCTGACGTGCCTTAAGCGACACAAAGGAGCGTTCGGTAAGCAAGGTCGAATTTACTGCTTATAAACTTCAATCTTCCATGAATCTCATACATTCATAACTAGCGTATCAAATGTAAACAAATGACGTCATATATTAAGAAATCGACAAAGTCCGACAATTGATTTATTAAAGACATTTTTACGTTTAACGTTCTTTTTATAGATACAAGTATTTAAGTAAATGCTCTGTTTATAATAAACAGTATTAAATAACATTTACCGGCCTGAATGTCCGAGAAATTTTCATAGAAAATATTCGTCCTTTGACAGGATTCGAACCAGCATCCTATACAGAACCGTCATTTACGCTGACGCGCCTTAACCGACTCGGCCACAGAGGTAGGCAAGGTCGAATTTACTGCTTATAAACTTCAATCCTCCATGAATCTCGTACATTCATAACTGCTCTAGCGTATCAAATGTAAACAAATGACGTCATATATTAATATAGGATGCGTATAGGATGCAGGTTCGAATCCTGTCAAAGGACGAATATTTTCTATGAAAATTTCTCGGACATTCAGGCCGGTAAATCTTATTTAATACCGTTTATTATAAACAGAGCATTTACTTAAATATTTGTATCTATAAAAAAGAACGTTAAACATAAAAATGTCTTTAATATATATATATATATATATATATATATAGTCTGGTAAATTCAGTCTCGAAGTAGGACTTCCTTAGAGTCTCTGTGCTTGTAACTGTAACTTCTACAAGCGGTTACCTCACACTATTACTCTACCTCCAACTCAATCACAATCTGTCTCTGTCTACTCTGACTGACTCTGGGTATTTAACGGCAGCAGTCCAAGTACACACTGGTCGAGTCCACTTGTATGAAAAAGGGGTGGACCCCATAACAGATATGTTTCCACGCGACCGAAAGTCAAAGATTTGGAACTTCCATCAATACTAGAAAGAGAAAATCTAATTCTCTGAAAAATTGTTTCAATAAAAATCATTTTATAAATTTTAACCGAGAATGGCATTAATTGTTCGTTCAATGAACGTCTAATCTTTCCTGGATGGAAACGGCTAATTTCACTATTACCATCGGAATAACAATAGCTGCATCTACTTCAAGATAAGTTGGGTTTCCCGTGCCGTTCCAGAGAAATTTTTCTTGTCAGAATCCATCTTGCACATTTACCAATTTATCATTCATCTAAGCATTGATTACTGCTGCCATATCTGATCTTGTGTTTCTGATATTCATCCCGGGGTTCTTGATAAAATCCAAAGAAGAATCTATAATATAACTGATCCTAATATTACATCTTGACTTCAATCACGTTCTCACCGACATGGCGTGGCGTGGTTTCTCTCTGTCTTTTCTACAAATATTTTCATGGCAACTGCTCTCACGAGATTTATTCCCTGGTGCCCCGACTACATGAATATAAGCGCACTACTAGATTGGCGTCTAGGTCCCACTATTTTACTGGTGAAATACCTAAATGCAACAGCTACTTCTTCAACAGTTTCTTTTTTCTCACTTCCCGCCTGTGGAACAAACTTCCGGTTACTTGCTTCCCTGATAATGTGCAATCTTCAAAATTTTAAATGAAACGTCAATCACGATCTTCTATCTTCTTGAATCCCGTTCATCTTTTTTTTCCTTTCATCAATCCCGATTATACCCAGTTTTCTCTCACTTTCACTCTATGTAACCCCTTGCGTACTAGTTGCATTTCCACATTGCTTGGGATAAAATGATTAAAAAAAATCTTCCTCCTAAACTGCTTGAAATCAGTGCATTATTCTATTTAACTCGTCCCTTCCGGTGGGGGGGGGTAGAAAAAAACCCCGAATCCACAACTTTCTCAAGAACATTCTGCAAAAATAAACATAAATGACTCGGTTGGATTTCGCGTTCAGATGGCTGACTTCTTTTACCTTGTCAATAACCGTTACCCTACCCACACGTTGGGCTACGGGCATATTGTTGAACTTACATTTAAGCCAACTGTACAACAGTAAAGAGCTAATGACGAAAAACGTCTTCTCTTGTCGAGGAAAAGACTCTATTAAAATCATAAGTAGGTTTGCTTTTTCAGTCGGCGTCATCACATAATCGGTATCCTACCTGGTAATCGAATCCTTGAGGGAAAATAAATAGAAACGAAGCATTGACGTGTAGACTCCCCGTAACGAGAATCAAGCCGTCCGTCAAGAGAGAACGTATCCTCAATGGAACAAAATACGATTACGTTTCCTAATAGCATTCCCAATTGTCAGTAAATTCACCTGCAACATCCATGAAGAAGGGCCACTTCCGACACGAAATCAGTAACACGTTAGGCGCTTCTCTAGTGGACGTACATAAACTTGTCGCCATGTTATATTTTTAATTTCGCGCATGCGCGTTGCTTGCTTTCGAATTTTGTTGACTGCACAGTATAGTAAGGTCAGTTGGGCACCGTCTGTGAGCAAAAGACCTAAATGACGCTATTCATTCCGGCAAAAATTTGCAAACGTCATGCTATACTGCTTGTCATTCGTGCCGGAAGCTTCAATACGAACATTTCGGAGTCTTTGGGTGTCAATCTGAGGACAGTGCAGAAGTTTCGGAAAGAGTTTTATGAGTCTAAGGGAGATTACAAAAGTACGGCAGCTCCAAGAAATCCCGAATTTGTTCGTGCGATCCAAGCCATGATTGACAACGACCCCTCTAAATCAATCAAGGCCATAGCCATGGACACAAGTGCCCTCTGCGATTCTTATAAGCATGAAGACAATCGGTACTTCTCATACAAGAGGAGAGAATTACTTATTACCACTCTTTGCCCACTTAGACATACAAGAATTTTCACAAACCTACATGCACATAGAATTATCCACGGCTTTAATACACATGACACGTGTCTGACTAAGGAGAACTGACCCAAACATAATTGGAAATATCAGTGTTTTCTGTTTTTTGTCTGTTTTTCTTAATATTTGACGAATAAAAGTGAAATGTGATTGATATATGTTTCCTATTTATTCCTTTATTTTATCATCTAATTGCATAAATTACAGACATTATGTCTGCTAATTTTTAATAGAATCCGCTCGTTATCACGAATAATCTTCCGTCTGTTGATGTTAAAGGACAAGAGAGATGTTCTATAGCTGTTTAAATTTCATTTTCATTCCCCATGTACTTTCGATTTTCTCTCAAGATCATCTTCAGGAGTGCAAGTAGTACAAATCTATAGGTTGTTGATTAGTACAAGTATTTATACAAAGATGTGCGTTGTTTTCCATTACCGTAATTTTTTCATCATGCTTTTAAATGCAAAACGCTTGACAATGTGTTGAGCGTTCATTTGAACGTGAAAAAAATTATCCATTATGGAATTGTTTCATGTTATAATGCCAT